TGTTACAGACGCCCGTGGCAGTTGCCTCGCCTTCCCCGGGACTAGAACTGTCGTTGTTCCCGGAACGTAGTCTTCCGTATCCTTCTGTCTTCCCGGTTGCACCCCAATTTGCATGTCTTCAACTCCGACAGTATTCATCCCTCTTTAGCTTTGATAAGGTTCAAACCTCTTAGCCCGCGGGAACTTCTAAGCCTCGAGCTAGGATTTGGCAGGCGTACGATGATCCAGGTACTTTGAGCACCAAGTTTATCTCGCGCGAAAGAGTATAGAGGGACGTTCGCGAAGAAGACTTCAAACGATGAAACCACGAACTGTGTTACTTTCCTAAGATAGTTACTGGCATTTACGCTTGCATCTACTCGAGAAGTAGATACCTACAGCCATTCCACTAGAATCCGCGGAAAGAACCCTATATCAAAGGTAGATGACAATGAAACATTCTAGTCTTACTCAGTTCAATCAACTAAGTTGCCAAGTTCCCTTAATCTCAATGCACTATCTCAATCCGCCGATAGACTACACCCAGGCGGTAATCACAAAGCATTCCTCCAGGCCACAGATACTCGCCGACACGGACGAAGATCTCGCCGCTAAATAACCGCGGGCAGTCCTGACGAAAAACGGCGCCGATCGAAATCGGACACTTCAATCTTCCCCTTCCAGGGAGTCGGACGTTTTGATTAAGAAATAACGCCCGACCCTTCCGGGGCGCGGCGCGTCGCGTCGCGAAGCAGAAACTCGCTGAAAGTGGATAGGATATGCGCCCCAAATGCCACCGCAGCCGTTATAACTTTAACCGAAGCGGCGGATGCGCGCCGGTGTGCGCCCGTCCGTGATTCCGCCGCGGTATATCTTGGTTCGAGGGGTGCACGCACGCCGCGCGCCGCGCTCCATCCACCCCGCTGTATATTAGAAGGATTCTTTGACTTCGGAAAGGCGTGCAGCGTCTTCTACGAAGCCCCTCGTCTCGCCCTCCGCCCCTCGCCCGCACGTCAGGAGGAGGCAACAGGGGTCGGGGGCGAAGGGACGGAGGATCGAAGAAATAGGTCGCATCGAAGGGTTTTCCGAAGTACCACAAACGTAGCGAATCGTGAGCTCCGAAGAAGCGGGCCGCGTTTGCCGCAGATGAGCACATTATCCGGATAGCGCGGCGGGCTTTAGCCCCTCAACCGCCATGGATCAGAGGCCAACCTATGGGCTGCCTGGGCTCGATCTATCTCCGGAGCAGATTTTCCGCCAGTGATTTTGCCGCGCGACCCGATGGAATACTCTGCGATATTTGACAGAAATTTGCTTATAGCAGGAAGAAACAACAGCGTGGGTTTGACACGTTCGCTGCCGTGAGAATTCTAGGTATTCTATACAATATTCCTTATTCTTTTGTAACAATGACAGATCTTGTAGTAACCCATTCACTGCTGGCATGAAATGCGTGATTTCATTTGTACTTTCAATTTATTTTGCTTTATATTACGATACGTTTCAAATACAACCAAGATTGTATCAAACTGGCAGTCCCTTGTTACGAGTATATTCGTGACTGGCAGTGAATGGGTTAAGCCTTTGCACTTGACAGTTCTTCGTTGGAAGGGTGAAACGTTTTCTGGTAAGGCGTGGACGACGTTCTTCGAAACTAATTGGGAAATATACGTAAATTAACCCTTAGCAGTCCTATGTCGAGTCAGACTCGACATTCTATTTTACTGCAACTTCTACCTGTTTTAACAATTTTTTCTATATTTATTTGTAGTATCACAATTGTATCATTTAAGGGTAACATTTCAATTACTCCGAAATATTCTTGAATAAATAAATAGAGCGTCACATTAAACTGTAATGGAATGAACCAACGTCAACGTGAACCTCAACGTGAGAAACCAAGAGCACTTCGGACCGCAAAGGGTTAGGAGTCAAAGCTATTTTGTTTGAATATTTCACATATTGGTGTATTATACGATTCCTGATATTATATACAAGACTTTATCACTTCAAATTAGCTGGAATATTCGGATATCTGTAAAAACATCGCGGATGTGTTTCGAGGAGTAATGAGAAAGTTTCGAAGAATTCCTTTACATTCGGAAGATGTCATTGTTTCCTTGGATTCCCTTCTTGGCATGTTTTTTGTAATATGCACTCTATGCGCGAAGTTTTCGGAAGGTTCTTTTGGAAACAGTAAATTTGAGATGACAGTTTTGTTTATTCTGTTTACAGGAAAACACCGCCGCTTGCCAGAAATGTTGTTCTAGTTACAGCTAATTGTTACAGGAACGACAGCGGTGGTTTACGATAACAGCGTCCGCGAGCTGTTCCAGGAAGAAATACAAATTTGGAATAAGTTAATAGAAACAACGGCTAGCGGGTAGCGCAGAAGGGAAGTTCGTAAACGCCTGCAACGGGGAAGTTCTACTTCAAACCGTACGGCGAGTACGACTGCGTAAAGTACAATGAATCACGGCGATTGAATTGTTCCGTGAGATCTCCGCAGAAACAATTTCCGTGCTCCACTGTACCGTGTAATTAAATGCGCGAAAGCAAAATACTCTTCTTTTAATTACGTTCAATTGGCTGGTTCTCCGGCGGCACAATTAAATAACGATATCACCGGAGAACAAATATATCTCGAGCCCTTGTCGCGGCAGCGGAGAGGTATCGCGAGAACGCTTTGACACCGAGGAGAAGTTTCCCGGTCCCTGGGGATACCTGTTAAAACCTCGACCTTGCCGCGGAAGTTTATTTTAATAAATTAAACGCCGACCGCGTGTCTGGGACTCTCGACACGATGTTGACGTCGAATTATCCCGAACTTTTCCCCTTAAAATCCGCGGCGCGTTAACACGCCCGTCGTCGTCCGGCGTCAGGGGAATTGTTCCTCAAAGTGGCAATATCCGATCGAATATTCATATCGCGCAATGCGGTGTATTCGTTTCGCGGAATGCTACAGCGTGAAATGTAACAAACGAGTAGTTAACGATGTCAGTGCGCCTCTTGACGAGTCGCATTCGATATCCAGCAACGCGAACGAAACACCGGTACGATGTTTAAACAAACAACGGGCAGAGTCTGGTAATTGATTACGAGAATCACGGCCCGTCAGAACTTCCAGCGATGAAGGAATTCGTGACAAGGAGCCGCGTTTAAAGTAACTCCCGCGCTAAGTTCCGTGGGAAGTTCCATTCATCGGGGCCCCGGCTAATAAAAGTTTCCGTTTTAATTTCCCCTGGAGCCGCGGATAATCCTTTGCATCGAAGAACACTTAATGCTTCAAATTCCCGGGGAAAATTGCGCGGCGAGCGGGCCGGGGCGGGGGGAGGCCGCGGCAGTCCTTGTCTGAAGGGTGTCGGTGGACAGGCGAGCGCGATGAAAGCGCGCAGCCGCTCGTCCGGATTCAAAGAAATGACCTCCGAAACGCGGTAAGCTCTCATTTCGTGGTCTAATTAACCACAGTGTGGGCGTCTAAAAGCCCGCTGAAACATCCGGCTGAATCGGCCGAGCCAATTAGCGGTTTCAACGTAAACCAGCCCGTGGACACTTTAACGACGAGTGCTTCGCCGGCTGGTTTCTTCCGGCTTATCGTTCCTTCGGCCGGCCGACGTTCGCTCCCTTTTCCCGGGCGAGTTACAGGAACACCGAAATCGAATTCCGCCCTCGGAAATGTGTCGGGGAGAATGCCATGTTTATTCCCGTTCTTCCAGCGGATGGTGCGGGACCTATACGTTCCGCCGGGTCCCTAGACGCCGATGAAGTTACTAAAAAGTGTCCTTCCGTTGGCAGAACTGAATCGATAGTGACTGTCCTCCTCCAAGGGAGTCTGCGCGCCGCGTTCCCACCAGCTTCGCCGGCGTTTCGAGCATTCGGGACGAGCTTCGAGCTTTTCGTTTCGCTGCGAAGCGACTGCACGTCGCCACCGAAATAAATAGAACGATTTTCCGCGGGACGATAGTCGGGAACGGACCTCCGTGAAATCGGCGAGATCCCACTGTAATGGATCCGAGATTTGAAGTTTGATGAATGGGGCCAAGAATCCTGTTGCCGTCACGTGATCCTATAATTAGGAGATTTCAGAGCACCTCGGGAGACTCTGCTGTAAGATGCCGAGATGATTTATTTCTATATTTCGGAAGCGCGACGGAAGTTTAGCTCTTGATTAAAGTTAATTCGTGGCAGTCAATTTCAGAACATTTGTCTGTTTTCCTGGGGCTCGGTGATTCCTTTTTATCAATTCCGAGTCGACGTTCATCTTGAAATTCTTCGTCTCCATTTCTGCTAATATTAACGACACGAACGTTTATATATTCACCAGACACATTCCAACGTTCGTACTTAACTCATTTCCGCCGACATGGCTCGTGCTTCTGAAACTACTTATAATTCATCCCTTGCTACTCCTTCCCCCGGTGCACGCACTGTAAAATGACAATAACTTCTTCCATTAGTAACTGGCAACGACTAACTTCCTTTGCGCAGTTCACTTATTTCTTCATTTATTTATCCGTTACAATATATTTTATACGATGCAGCGAGCAGACAATGGACGCAGCGAGTAAGCAAAACTACATCGAAAACAATGCTGAGAAATATAACAAAAAGTGTAATCTTTTCGTCTTCCTATTAAAGATTTCATATTATTGGAATCAATCTATTTTTCCTCTTGGAAGGATAAAGCTACACAAGTCCGAGATCAATTGAACTATATCACTCGAGTACAAAGTAACCCGAATTCTTCCGAGATCCCGTCGTCCCTTATCGCCCTCTTACAAATCGTCGAAAAATGGGTTACCCGAAGCGCCGGAAAACAGGAGTTTCCAGCGTGAACGCGGGGAACCGAGGCCGGGAAGATCGAAAGTACCGCTAGACGGAAGGTCGGTCCGGTCGGTAGCGTCTGGCGTAAGCCGCAGAATCGACCGTGGCGCGCTTCAACTCGCTAGGGGTAGAGTGGTGTCTCTGGCGTCGGTGTGCGCGAGAGCTCGCGGACCCTCTCATTCCCCTGCTGTAGTCCGTCTCGCGAGCTTCGAGGCGACGTTACGTGTTGTTCGCCGGCGTAAAAGCCGAGGCTCGCCAGGGTGTCCGCGTCCGCTCGCGAGTGTGTCAGTGTCACGGGTGTTATCCTCGCGTACGCTGCGGGTGTTCGTCGTGCGCGCAGCGTCCGGACCGCGGCTGGCCTTGGACGGAGAAGGGTGGTTCGCCGGAAATTTCCAACGGCGGCAGCGTGCGACGCCGGATCCGCGAGTCTCCGACGACGAGAGAGAATGACGTTTGACTGGCCGCTCGCTGGAGGAAACGTTGCTCCGGCAGCGAGCAGCTAGATCGAACGGGAGCAGGAAGGATCACTGGTCGGACAGTGAACACCTTGGCCAGCGCAACGTGACACACGCGTTCCCCCGGACTCGGTGATTGTGTTGTCAACAGTGTCGTAGAGTGGCCGCGATTTTCGTGCGATTCCGTTCGCGAGGAATCGTCCCATCTGCGGTTCCACCTCGTGCGTCCCCTGAACGAAGCGCTCGCGAAACCTGGACCAGAAACGAGCACGGGCAAGGCGGCGAGGATTCGGGGATCGGTACCGGTCTCGAGTTCCGTTCGCTGCTCGCAGTGCGGATCTCACCTGCCGGTCGCGTGGTGCGTGTCGCACCGGTTCGCCTTGTGATTGTGTGTGTATGTGTGGAGTACAGTGCACCGACGGACCACTCGCCGCCTCGGTCACGGTGAGTAGACGGTACCCGGAGTAGCTTTCCTTGTTCCAGCGTCCCCCCGCATTTTTTTCGTGCGGTTAATTAGCGATGACTACCGACGAAGTTGGTCGACGACTCGAACCATGATTTATGCGGGAGCAGGAAAATTTTTCGAATTGATCGGCGCCGCGCTTTAATGCGACCGGTACGCTGACAGTGATGGATTCGGCCTGCGAGACCCGTTTCCCGTTGATGTTTCGCCGCGTCTGCGTGAAACTGATTTCAATGTCGCTCAGAAATGTAAATTGCGGCTACTGCGTGCGATCCCCATCGTTGCGGTCCGTCTCCTCTGGCTCGTTAACGTCCACCGAACGTCGGTCCTGACTGATCCTTGACGGAGATACTTTTCGATGTACTTTATTCCTGCGTTTCTCTCGGTTTGTTCTTCGTTTCGCTACGATACGCGTATACGCGTGTAGCGACGACATTCCAGTCTAATGTGCTGTATATAATCGCTTCTACGTTCATTCGCGTAACGAAGCACTAACAATGAAGCTCTTAGCATTCTGTAAATATTAAATTCCATATCACGGTTGCAATTGTACAGGCTGTTCGGACGAAACAATGCAACCAGGTCTATGAATAGATTAAAAATCGTTGGAAAAGATCTGTAGAATCTAGACTTCGCGAAGTCTTTATTCCGGAACAGTGTAACGAAAACATCGTTGCCCTCTTTTGAATCGAACTCCATTCTCTTCCTGTTCATTTTCTCGCCGAGCTCTGTTTCTCTTTGCACGCCGTACCGCGCGGAAAATTAGCAACCCACTTCCTCGCTCCGACAAATAATTTAAAGATCGAACGAGAGCAACAAGATTGCACAATATTACCGTGACCTATCGATCGCGGGCCAGGAGCTATTCAATCGTCCGGCGGTGCAATGAAAAATGCGCGAGGGAACCGTTCGCATAACTCCCGCTAAGAATTTGCTTTTCGATCAACGCCGCACGTCTCGCGTATAAATCTCGCGTGTCAAGCGATTCTACGCCGCGCGGCACGTATTTATCGCGCACGCGTTTGTGCGGCATTCTAATGCCGGATAGGGCCGCGAGCTTTCATAAATTCGGCAGGGCTGAATGCATAGACTGTTGTATATCGAGACTTTACGGCGGGAGGAGGGCCGGGGGG